GTGTGTGTGTGTGTGTGTGTGACAGTGGAAGCTCATTTGTTACGAGCTGACACAGCTTAGTGACTTCCTGTCTGGCTTGTAAAAGCAGCATGAGTTTCTTCCTGTATTCACCCATAGGAGCCCACCAGGAGCGGTACACACACACACATATCACCATCACACACACTGTCTGACATCTGCACCCAATAAGTCCTAACAGCAGGAGAAGCTCCCTGCGGCGCAGCTTGATTGGTCACGTTCAGCTCTCAATGCAAAACAAGAGCCAGACTTTAAACTCACACACAGACTGTAGAGCTCAGAAATATGCTTAAATTAGTTTGCTCTTGCATTTTTCTCAACTTACTGAAATGTCATGTGTTCTAAAATTGTATAAGCATTATTATAATATTCTATATTTTTAAGAGAAAGAAATCAATAGCTGCACTAATAAAGAAACTGGCTGTTTGAGCTAATATTGCCTGGATCCCAGGGCAAGATAATGTTACAGATTTTTTTTGTCCAATTTATTGTGATGGCTCCAAAGATAATCTTAGGAGAAATTGTGTAGTGAACTGAGTGAACTAGTCAGAAGGACCACTCCAATCTCAAATCGGGGATATTCAACATGTTGGATTGTCTTGACCCAATACCCCAGCGTGTGGCGTAACCCCAAGGACAAAGCCTGTTGACTGTGATGCATAGCCAATCACAAAGCGAGGTGAAACACAGAGGGAAATCCAAAACACAGAAGACATAACGACCGTGGTGCAGCAGAAAGTCCGCTCAAAGTTGAAGACATCTTTTTGTTTTTTTGTTTTTTCTCTGTTAAAAATAGTCCACAATCTATCACAGTTGCTTCTTCCTTGTCTGCCATGTTTATTTACTCTGAACTCACATTTGATCCTGAGAGGTTTTAAAAGATTTCTGATATCTGATTGTCTTTGAGTGAAATCGGTTTGTGTGTGGTGTGTTGTATTTTTTCATGTGGTTGTACAACACACACTGTRGGACCAAACCTGTTGTGTCTATGATTTTTTTAATCGTCATGCATGGGGTCTTTAAGTCTCTGAAATCAACTAACAATTTTTAAATCTTGCGTTGTGAACTAGGTAAAGGTGTTATTTTTGGTAATTTGTGTATTTTAGGGCAAATAAACAACCCAATGTATTGATTTTCTTTTGATCTTTAGTCATTTTGGCTTGTCTTATCCCTGATGTAGTCCCTCGTTGCTCATTTATTGCTCACGCACAAACCATCATCAGAGTTTTTCTTTTTTAATCCTCAGATCCAGCAGAGTTGTTTTATTACAATTTATATTTAACATATACCAATAATTCACGTGATCTCCTCAGCCATCAATAAAACAGTTCCAGATGAATACTGGTTATCCCATCAGTGAAGTGTTTACCATTTGCAGAAATGGTTCTAAGAGATGACTATTCTACAGACTTGTAGAGGTCAAACACCTAAGAGAACTTTTCCAAAAGAAGAACTTATCTATAAACATGACATCATCTCTGAGGTTCGCCTATATTTTCTGAGTTTGCTATTAGTGAAGTACAGTTGCTCTGAGCTTTGGGAATAACATGTACTTCAAGGCTCCCGGAAACACTTTCATCAGTGGAAGAAGCATTAAGTAGGCTTGTTAATGATAATATCTCAACAGCATGATAATACTCCTGTGAATGCTGCAATGTTAGGCTCCTTTCAGAAGAGCAAAAACACCAGACACATCAGAGGAAAGTGGACAACATTTTATATAAGGGTGTTGTTTGTTCTGCGGCTCACAGGGATAAATAAGTCAGTGATATCCTACCTCTGGTGTTGGTGGCCATGTCTGCCACTTTTTGAAAGGCATCCAGGAACGCCACGGCTGCCAGAACAGTGGTTCTACATGGACAAAAACACACATTAACATAAAACAGTGTTTTCTAAATAAGTTTTACCCTAATTTAAAATAGAATAATACCCTACATTTTTAACCCAATTCATTATGACCCCGTTACATCGAAGGATGACCCTGCTTTGAAGTTACAAAATGAACAAAATTCTGTAGTGAGGTCATAGTGTCAGCAAGTAAAGCATGGAGGCAGAGACTTAGAGCCCATGAACATTCATGTGGTTTGGCTGTGTGGGTTGTGATAAAAATCAAGAAGTTGTCTTCAACCATTTAGGAACTCAAAGACAGTCAATTCTTATATTTTTTTTGGAAGTAGATGTAACGTAACTCTGAACCACTTGTTTGCTGTTACTTGGTTCTGGTGAGAGCTTACCGGAGTTGGGAATGCAGCTTGGTGGCCTTGGCGCTGAAGTCCTCCCACACAGGATAGGAGCACTGGTAACACAAACATAACAAAATCATAACATTACTAACTTCACTTACAATGTACTTCATTATAAATAATTCCAGCATGCACTATTGTTTCTTCTATATGTATAATATCTACACAAAAAGAAATATGATGTGAATTCAAATGGTGAGAAATACTATATATATTGTTTTCAAATGTGCAGTAACAATGAGAGTACAATACCTAAAAGGAAATCAGCTATTAGGATTTTTTAAAACAATATAGTATAAAATAAAAAAGTAGAGGACGAATGAAGTTAAAATTTTCAAAAAATAAATATAAAAGAAGTTGTATTGTTGAGAGAAAAATAACAAAATCAAAATGACAAAAAAAACTATGTACTTACAGAATTCTTAAAAAGGAATGAAAAAATTAAGCCATACACAGTTTGCCTTGTTCAAATTAACTTGGGACTTTTAAATCAGAACAGGTTTTATTATTAAGGAAATTATTTGGAATAAAATGTCAAATAATTCGAAATTTTCAGTAGGTCTCTGTTTGTTGAGCTTGTAAAATGAACTACTTTTCAGTACAGTCCTTTTTGGATTAAAAAGTAACTTCATCGAGGAAATGTATATTTGGATGCGAAGAAGAAGACTACCCTCTTACAAAGCTCTCATGRAAGGTTATAAATGGCATGAAGCATTGTTATAAAGATGTGCTGAAGTGGGAGTGCCTGAAATAGTAGGAGCTTCTAAAAGAGACAGGCAAATTTCAAGGTGTTTAGATAGGCTATGACGCAAAGTCAGTTTTTTTAAAATACAGCATTTTAAAAACAACTGAAGTTAACATAGTTGGTATACAACTGAACTATGTGCCTAGAAAATACACACCCCACCCCTACTCACACCCTTTAGGTGGTACTAGAGGTCCATCTGATGATTACTTTCTGAGAGTATCCTTTAAATTAATTAAGTGATTTAAAGAAAATGAATATTGTGTACTTAAAACAAATTTGTTAACAGTGCAAAATATGTTTGGGTTTAAAATAATCACATATACCAATCAGTTTTCGAAATGAACAATGAAAAATAAATAAGTGACTTCCTGCGCTGTTCTCTTCTGTGTTGCCATATTTTGCTATTTTTCTGACCTCATTTCCTCAGCTCCGTACTTTTACTTCCACAAACACATTAACACATGTCCACATATCTCAATTGCCACTGTACACCCCCACCCCCCACGTTCACCCTTCATTCACCTCTTTTTTTTATCTCCCCAAACCCCTCCTGTCCTCTGGGTGCAGCAATCTAATCCATGCACCAAAGCACACTCATGCGCACGCCTGGGCCCACAAACACACGCACAGCCACTGGCATCAAGCAGCATCAAAGGGTTCAACGAGAACATTCTGGATCATTAACATGATTCCAAGCTGAAGGTGTGTTTCTAATGGATGCTGAGCCCCCATCCTCCCAGCACTTCTTTAAACTGGATGACTTCACTATCACACACACCCACAAGCTCGGTACATATTACATTACACTTGATCCAGGTTAACCCACAACCCTGTTAAGTGCCTGCAAATTGTCAGCATGGGGGGTTGGTGAATGTTTTTGTGTCAGCTTGAAGCCAACATATTTTTTAGAGGAATAAGGACATGCGGAAAAATATGCAAGTAAATAAAATAAAGCAAGATTAATAAAAATAGAAAAAGTGAAAAGGTACAGTATGGAGTAAAGGTGCTTGTACAGTATGTGTGTGTGTGTGTGTGTGTGTGTGTGTGTG